CCGCCCTTCACCTGGCCTTGTCCCTAACCTGCTCTTTGTCTCTACGGCCCTCCTGACCACTTCATCCTACTCAATCATGGCTAGTTGTCTTGCTGACCCCTCCCCTGCAGGAAGGTGAGGTCTGGGGTCCCACACCTGGCACCCAGCAAGTGCTCAGGAAATCCTGCGGCCTGGCAGCTTCCAGAGGAGAAGACAGCCCCACCCCCACCCCCCGCCTCCAGTGTCAGGTGGCCTTTTTCTGAAATCTTGGATGGAGGGACCCCTGCCACCTGCCCTCGGCCATATCCAAGGGCGGGGGTGGGGTTGGGGGTGGGGGGATTCCCAGAGCCCAACCTCGGGGCTGCCCCAGCTGCAGTGTTTCCGTTCAGCTGCCTGTCCCCGGGGGCCTGGGTGTACAGAACTGGGGGCTGGGGGCGGATGCAGCTGCCAGAGGAAGCGTGCGGTTGGAACAAGGCAGGTGGGGGGTGAGCGGTGCTAGGTACAAACCTCCCGGACCTTAGGCCCTGCCTGCCCCTAATCCAGTGGTTCACGCCGGAACTGTTCTCAATCCCAGTTCCCAAGGGCAGGGTAAGAAGGTCCCTCTGACCTGGAAGTCCATCCTGGGGCCTTAGCCTCACCAGACAAGTATGGGAAAGAGAGGGGGAGGGGGAGGGGAGGGCCTGCCTACATTGGGTCCCAGCTCTCTGTTCCTGGGTCTCCCCACTCCTACCCTAGAAGCCTGTCCTTGGCTCCTGGGGTCTGATCCTGACCTCTTGCCACCAAGCCCCCAAACTGGCCAACCCCAGTGCCCCACCCAGCTCACCATGGGTCTGTTGGCTTGTCTCCTGGTACCACCTCCAGCCCCAGTGGGGTTGAGCAAAAAGTGAGCGCGCGCAGTGGCTGAGCAGGGGTGCCCCGACACTTCCGCTTCCTGCCCCTAACACTCCACCCCTCTCTCCACACCCCCGCCACAGGACTCTGGTGCCCTCCACCCCCCACCCTTGGCCTCCAAGCCCTATCCAAGTCAGTCCACCCACCTCCAAGGTCACTCACAAGATAAGCCTGGGACCACAGGGTCTGTCTGCAGTCAGGCCTCCAGAGGGAGGAACTGGGTGATCAGCCCAGAGCAGGCCCTCTGCCTCCATTTCCCTGCCTAGTGGGGCTCTGGGATTCGACGGCTATGGGGACTGTACCCCCCCACCCCACCAGCAGAAGGCCACGCCTGGCTTTTAGAAAGCATTTTATTTGGAATGAAAATATAGAGCGCAGCCCCGTACTCGGGGATTCAAGGCAGTGGTCCCTTGGAGTCCAATCGAGCGTGCCTGGGGCAGAAACCCCCACAGTGACAGTGAGCGCAGGGGCTGCAGCTGGCCCTCAGGATGGACCAGGCTGCCCTGAAGTAGCCCCAGAGGTGCTGGCAGCCAGGCGGCCCCCCCATGGGACCTGCCAGAAGCCTAGTGAGGAGGGGATGGTGCAGGAGGCTGGGTGGCGTCCCTGGGGGCGGGGTACTAGGCGTCCCCGTTCTCCAGGCGGCCTAGCTGCTCCTCCAGGCGGCTGATTCGCTCGTTCTGCTCCTTGACCAGCGTCCGCAGAGTCCGGAGCTCCTGCACCACCTCTTCTAGCTTCCTGGCCTCCTGCCAGAGGGGTGGGGCGGGTACGCACACAGCCAGGTGAGAAGCCAGCCCTTCACAAGCCTGTCACCAGGCAGGGCCTGGGGCCCAGACAACCCACCTAGCACCCAGGCACGTACCCCTGCTCCGGCCAGGCTGCCGCCGGTAGTGGTCAGGGCGGTGGTGGCCGCAGGGGCGGGGGTGGCGGAGGGCCGGCTGTCTGACAGCACATTCCGCCGGCTGACCTTCAGGTCTCGCTGCTTGCTGGGCACGTAAGCCTCCCGCAGGGAGATAAGGGTGGGGTCAGCATCCCGGCCGCTCACCCACTCCTCTGCTTCCAGGGC